GTTTTTGTTTTTTTTAGATTATGATGATATCTCCAATCAGATCGATTTTATCATATGCCTAGGAGGAGATGGGACCTTACTTTATGCTTCTTCACTTTTTCAGGTTAGTCTTCGTAGTAAATAGATATAAAGCCTGCCTTTCCTTTTTGGCGTATTTGTAAATTGTTTTTTTCTGTTGTTATAGAGAATCGCYGGCTTTCTCTGTTGTTCATTCTGTTTTTAAGTTTACCCTTTACCCCTTACCTCCTGAGAATAACATATATGCTTCATTACTGTATCACTCTTTTTATTGTGCACAGTTGAAACTATATCAAAAGTCAAAATACTGCGATAATTTAGTAGCTTTTTAATTCTTTTCTTTATTGATAGGGTAGTGTACCTCCAGTTATGGCTTTTCATCTGGGATCCCTTGGATTTCTTACTCCATTTAATTTTGAGAATTTTCAATCCCAAGTCACTCAGGTTATAGAAGGTAAATTTAAGGGGACAGGGTGTGTTTTTTCTTTTAATTAAGTTTTTCAGCAGATTTTTCCAAGACTGGTTAATTCTTTATGTTGACTCACTTAAGTTTTCCCGTAAAACTGGGTCACAAAAAAAAAAAAATTAGATAAAACTTTGGAAAAAAAAAAAAGAAAAAAAGCTAAAAGAAAATGCAAATCTCATATATTAAATGATAGATAAATAGTTGTAAAGGAAGTCATATTTTATATTTCACATAAAAGTCATTTTCTTCTGAACAGAATACATAAAAGACTTGAAGAAATATTTTGTCCCTTTTATCCCAAGGTTATTTGAGTTGTACTCTAATGATTTCTGAAAATGTGTAGGATTTTCACATTTCTAGAGTGTCTTTTTGTAATGCAATATTTTTTAAAAAACTTCTAAGCTTCTGTTTCAGTGAAGGTTGTTTAATGTTCCGTGTTTTTCTAAACTTTTATTGTGTTCTTATAAAACTTAGATTTTCTTTTTACATCATAAGGAGAGGGAAGAAAGACTAGCTCAAATTTGACTTTGTTTTTTCTGATTACTATTAAAAATTGACTTGACCTTAACAAAACATAGACAATTACCTTTTGAATGAAATTAGAAATGTTGAAAGCATGTGGACATATAGTGTTTTGCTCAGATTGCAAGTAATTACACAATTACACAATTTTAGTATATAATTTTTGTTCATTTTCTGCTGTATTTCACTTCTAGGCAATGCAGCACTTGTTTTACGAAGCAGGCTGAAAGTGAGAGTAGTAAAAGAGAACAGAGAGAAGACAACAATACAGAATGGAATAGAAGAAAATGGAGTAGTGTCTACAAATATAGAGAAAGAAGTGGGCAAACAAATTATGCAATATCAGGTCAGAGGAATCCTTCAGCTGGCACTTCATAATACAAAATTGTAATTGAAAAGTTACAAAGATCTGAAAAGCATGATTTTGCTTGTCGTTTGTTACATCACCAAGTCAGCTATCATAGAGTAGTGATATTTGATATCATTGTAGGTTCTAAATGAAGTTGTAGTAGATCGTGGTCCTTCTTCATACCTTTCCAATGTAGATGTCTTTCTAGATGGACACCTTATAACCACAGTGCAAGGGGATGGTAAGTCTGCTCCTTGAGTCACGTTGCTTATCAGCTCTTGTGTAGACTGCCATTTTACCAGAGTCTGGTTTCTCTCATATGGAAACTGTCTCCAGCTTCAGTTCCTGAGTTGCAGAAAAGGTGTAAAGGATAGATAAGGCTTTGCCTTGGTAACTTATGGAATTCACAACAGTATCAGTGCCTTAAAGAATATTGCATGTTTTATGGTGTGTATATATAGCATTGTGAAGACAAGGGACAGCTTCTATAATATATTAGGATAAAGGGTAAAAGCCGCTCAGAAAACAATTTGCCTGGTTATCTGCAATTTGCTGCAGGGCCAAGATCTATTAAAGATGAGGAGGAGTGTCAGGAGTTTCAACTTTCAGGAGTTGAAGCTCTTAAACTGCAATTCTTATCCCTTACTGACACGTGAATGCCAGCATTACAAAGATATGTAGCCTGAGATCTGGAAATTAGGCAATTTACATGAGGTTGTACAACAAATATACTGTGCAACAATTAGAGTTTCTGTCTTTTTATATATTAGACTACAGCTCTTACATGAAGTCCAAGTCAATACATTCTTTGCTTCATTTTTGTAACAGTCCCATTTCTTAGACTTCTTCTAAGATGGGTGCTGGTTCTAACATTAGCTTAAGCAAAACTTTTGCTCTTTTCGCAGGAGTCATTGTCTCCACACCGACTGGTAGCACTGCGTATGCCGCTGCAGCAGGAGCTTCTATGATTCATCCCAATGTTCCTGCAATAATGATCACKCCAATCTGCCCTCACTCACTGTCTTTCAGACCCATTGTTGTTCCTGCTGGAGTAGAGCTCAAGGTTAGCTTCTTCTGTGTTATTTTTCTTTGCAAGCTTAAAGCTTCTGTAAGCAAGCGAACCTGACCCAAAAGAAGCAGTTAGGAATTGCTGTGTATTGAGTTTCCTGCAATTCTTTTGTTTGTGGGAGGACTTCAAACTCTGTTTGAAGAATACATCTTTGTGTAGAATAATAACCCACTCTGACTAAACTTTTGTACAGCTTTTTACTGGATTGTAGTTGTGTAGACTTCCTCAAAAAATGCATAATGTATTTGTGTTCTAATGAATAGAATTTTATTCATTTCATTTCTGCTAAAGTGAATGTAACATAGTGAAGTTCAAAGGAATAAAAAGAATTCTCCATGGCTAAAGCTATTGCAGATTTTAAGTGTGTTAGCAGTGTCTGCAGTTCACTGCTTATTTTGGTAGAAGATGTAATCTTGCAGAAAATGTTGGCATGGAAAACCTGAATATAAAATAATTTGTTTATTGTGCAATTTTAGTTAATACATCTGTTTAAGGAAGAATTCACCCCCTCTTCTGCGTCTTAAGTAGTTTGGAGGCTTGTAACGGTTAATTTGGAAAAGAGATAGTATTATTAGAAGGGTTTTCCTTGACCTTAAGAAATGTGTGCCGTGTTGTTCTTGTTTGACTTCAGGAATTGGATGTTTATTCATGCCACAGCTGTCCATCCAATTATCTATGTGGCAATATAGGTGTTAGCAGTCAATGACAGTCACTTGTCCTTTCTCTTTCATAAGAACTTATGTTAAGTATGAGCAATTAACTTGTAACTTCCTGAATCTGATAGCTTTAAAACCAAAAGCCTATTACTCTTCATAAATTTTATATTTCTGTTGGAAAAGATGCTAAGTCAACTCAGTTCTAACTGAGAGGTCCTGCACTCTCTGTAACTGGAAGATCTTTCTGTTTTGTGACCTTACTGGCTTTATCAAGAGGAGTTTATTGCATATGGAAGGACATAGATAATTCCAAATATTCATTTCATGTTTGCTAATTTGTTTAGTGTGTTCCTGCAGAGCTATTATTAATCGATGCCAAATCTCAGTGGAACTGTAAAATTGGAAAGAGTAAATTCTCTGCCCAAATGGAAGATGGAGAAAGTTTCTTCCTTGCTCCTGGAGGGGGAAAAAAAAAAAAAGTACAATAGATTTGCAAGCTGAAAATTTGTTCTTTTCTCTTTTTCAGATTATGCTTTCCCCAGATGCCAGGAATACAGCATGGGTTTCATTTGATGGAAGGAAGAGACAGGAAATATGCCATGGAGACAGGTCGAGTCTTTTTTAAGCTCTAGTCTTTTTAAGCTCCTAAATACAGAAAATAGTCTTTTGTGCCTTTCTCTCATTCTGCTTAGACTATAAAAAAAGCAATGAAGAAATAAGCTTTTATAAACTCTTGATACTGCTTAGCTGGCAATAAAGGGACATGTCTTTAGAAATTTCTGTAAATTTTAAGTTAAATAGAAATCTTGGACATCTGAGAAAAGTTAAACCAACAGGAGTTAGCTATATTCAGTGCCTCTCTAAACAACGTTATATGCTTAAAGCAGGTTTAACTTAATTGCAAGTTAAAACTTGCAATTTAGAAGCCAAGATGATGACTTAAATTTTCCTTTGTTCCAATGCTGAAGTTGTAAAGATCGAGAAGAGAATGCAGGACTTCATAGAGTGGTTTAAAGTTCTCCCTGTGTGGGGAAAAAAAACTTCCGTGCAGCAACTTGAAGCCCTCTGATTACATGTGTCTGCATTCTTGGTTATTGCCTGGTTTTGGAAACTTATTCTTTTCCCCAAATGGCTGAACACAGTAGTATCTTAGCTAGTGTCTTGAGGATTAACAACAAAAAATACATGCCCATGATCATTGCTGAGAGGGTTTGCTGCTCCTTGCCCTTGACTGACCTGGAGTATTCCTGTGTTCTTGCAGTATTAGCATCACTACCTCTTGCTACCCTCTTCCTTCAATCTGTTTCCGAGATCCTGTGAGCGACTGGTTTGAAAGTTTGGCTGAATGTTTACACTGGAATGTTCGGAAGAAGCAAAATAACTTTACTGTTGAAGAAGAAGAATTTTAAGTGTCTGCATCTAAAAATACTCATGGGAATGGAAAATGGCAGTATCCCTTCTGTTAAAATATCTGGGTTTTAAGTTTTTGGCTAACATGGATGGAGACCAAGACTAACATATACAGTGATGTACCTCATAGTAGTCTGATCTGTTGATGGCCTGAAGTCATTGTGCTATTTTCTGTCCACCAGGAAAAGGAAGAAATTAGATTATTATTGTTGTATTCCAGATTTAATTTCCTTTAAATTTGAAATTTCAAAATGGATTATTTCTGATGGCATTGACAAGCAAGTCTGTAGGTTTGATTGTAACCAATAACTTGCCAATAACATGCTAGACTGCATGCAGAAGCGTAATAGAATAGCAGCATTAAAATATCTAATTTGGTATATTTACTATTCCATTTGTTAAGATTTTTTTTCTGGATATAAAACCTTAAGAAGTTTTATTTTAAAAGAGGCTTTTTGCTGACTAAATATATCTTGCTCAGAATGCCTTCCTGTCAAGGCAGCATTTACAATACTTTCTCTGTAGTCGCAAACATGACAAACTGTGAAGGAACATGCAGGAATGTATTTTCTCTGAATAGATGGGACTAGTTTTAAAAAATAAGGGAAAAAAAATCTCTTGTGCACATCTGATTGAAAAGTGTTTGACCCTTGGCTGTCATCACTGTATAAATATCCACGAAAAGCATGGGCAAGTGTTAGTTTGGGCTGAGTTGGGGTTACAGGGATTTGCATTTTGGTAGTAGAGCTAATTTGTAGCTCTGCGGTTTCTGTTGGTGAATTGTCAATGTGTTTGATTTTGTACTGTTTTATTATCTGGAACAAATGGTAATATTAGAGACTACAGAGTTAAAACATCACCAGGTGCTCAGGCAGAGTTTGGGCTTGAATTACAATTACCACTATATTGTCTAGGTCCACTGTCTTGAAGAAAAACTACGTCCTCAGCTATCCTGAATGCCTTCAACATTCACAGGTGTCACAGCTTTGGGTGCTTAGTACTGCAGAAGGGGATACTGCGGTGGTAGGCTGATGAGTGGAGAATACACATTCCCAGTATAGTAGCAATGGTGCCTTCAGCACACGCAACATATTCTAAGTCTCGTATGTACTTTTTTAAGATGCTTTCAAATGTTCCTAACTTCTCAATGTACATATTTTATTGTACATGCTTTTATTAAAAAAAAAAACAGTTTGGAAAAAGGGCTTGTACTGTATGTTAACTGAAAAAATGTAAAGCCCAAGTATATTGTTTACATTTATGTTCTTTGTGGTGCAGTCTCATGATGATACTATCCAAACTGTAGCATTTCCAAAGTGTTGCTGTGTTGGCCATTAAAGGAGTGGATATTATCTGTTATATACATGGCCAACACCGTAGTATTGGGGAGGAGTTAATTTCTTACTGATTAAGTTGGTAATTCCTTACAAGGGGATTGAGAAGCTCTGTTGAACTCTTCATGCTTGTCTTGAGTTATTTGTGTGGTCCAAGGCAGTAAAGGGAAATGTGTTGATGAATGAACTCTGAATAACCTACTCTCCTTGATGGTTTATGAATGTCTCTTCCTTTTTGGATGCTGCCCTAGTCTGTCTAATTTTATTAAATCAAGATGAGAGTCCTTTTGCATAAAGCAGAAGCAAGCTCTCAGGGATACAAATCACAATGAAATTGTGTTACTATAATACTCGGTTTGCAAATTTTGTAAAATAGAATGTTGGTTTAATTTAGTCTAAACAGAGAAATTTTATGATATCTTGGAAATTTTCAGATAGCTTTTGGTATTTATCCTTCACTTCAGTCTGCAGTACTCTGTAAACTGCTTACGGGTTTTTTAGATGGAATATTCAGTTATTAAATAGCTGTTTACTTTTTGAGCTATAAAAGCATCAAACTGTGCTTTAAAACCATTTGTTTTCTTATTTAGACACGCAATAATTGAGACAAAGAACAGGGTACAGTGGTTCTATAAACGCATTAAGTGAAAAGTACGCAGAATGCTAAGCACGTTAGGGAGTGGAAATCATTTTGAGGAGGTGAGATAAAATGATTAAAGAGCCTTATTTAGTTTTTTTTAAAGATAAAACTATTCAGCACTTTTTATTTATACTTTTTCATAAATTTCATGGAGTAAATTATCAACTTTAATTTTCAGTATATAGTTCATGAAATCTGCAAACAAAACTTAATTTACTACTTTCTCTCAATCAGATTTACTGGGGTGTCTTTAAATTTACCATTTGTTGCAATTGCATTATGGGCTTTGTGGCTTCTGCAGTTTTGCTTGCACTGCCCTTCCTGCTCGATGACAGTCTTGTCCTCAGATCACTGCACAGTCCAGTAGAGAGGTACAACCACTGACTGGGGGGGACGGGGAAGAGCCACGTGGATGGATTTACTTCAGAAAAAGCAGTTGGATTATAATATTCCTATCTTCTCTTTACCAAAACACAAGGCGAATGATTTGTTAATAAATTACGAATTTATCTGACTGTCCAGAGTCCCTTTCCAAGGCCTTTACTCCTCAAACCAGCAATTTTCAAGCATGACAGTGAGGTTTGATTGGCATTCAGGTTTTGCGTATTTGCCTGTTTGAAGTGTGTGTGTGTGGGGGGGGGGRGGGCAGGGGGAAAGCAACCTCTGTTGTAACTAGAGTTGAATTGGAAACAAGCTCTAATGCAGGTTACCTTTTGCAACAACAACAAAAAGAAAACTCATTTTGCTCATGGCATTGCAGGAACTCCTTTAAGTGGCTTTTTGCTGGTTATGAGCAGTATTTCTAATATAAAGGTTTGCTCACATTACCATTTCTAAAAATACTTTCCAATCTCAACAGAGCCAAAAGGGAGGCTTGGAAGTGAATATGTTTATAAGAAAATCTGATTTTTTTTTTTAAAGAAAAATCTTGTTACATATTGTTAATGTTCTGAAAACTTGTTTTAAATATTGGTGAAAAGAAATATTTTTCAATCCTTTCAATAAATGCTTTTTTTTAAAATTGCATTTGTGCAGCAGCAGCTTTTTGAATGTTGGAAATGTAAAATTAGGTATACACAATTGCTACTTGCAAGCCAAAAATGCAGTTGGGTGTTTAATACATTGACTCATGGACAGTAGCTTCTATTTTCTAGACGTGTATATAGTTTTTTCTAAACATGTTTATTGGATCCCGGTATTTTATCAAAAGTTCTGAAGTAAAAGGTTTTGGATTTGCTGTGCAAGTTGAAACAACTTTAAAGCAGCCCAAAAAAAGGAAGATGTATCTTGGCCTTTGGCCTATATGAAACTTGAAGAGGATGTCAACGCAAACATTTGGATTTATCTGGATTATTTGCAAAGTAATGACGTGGCAGCATGGATTTCAGCTGCCTCGGTAAGAAAAACACCTCTCTGCTAGTGGATGTGAAGCTTGGTATTGATTTTGCTTGCTGTTGCTGTTCCCCGGATTGCTAAATCAAATTTAATCTTTGTGCAGTAATCCCACCTCATGATGACATTCTCCTCCTTGGGCAATGAGAAGGTTTACTGCATTGTTAATGAAAGGAGTGGTAGAGAAGCACCTATTCTTTGTATTGAAAGTTATTTTGTAATAGATATGAGTTTGTAGTGCTTTTTAAGACAATTTGAACTGGCCATAGCAATTAAGCATTTGTTACTGTGGAGCACAGGTTTACAGGGCCTAAAAGCATTTTGCCAAATTATATTCCATTTCCTGTGCGAGGTCTTAGAATGTTTGTTCTTTCATCTTTTCTGCAAAGTATTATCAACTGTGGCACATGTGCACAGTAGCCCTGGAGGATGAGAAGTAGTTTGGTCTTGTGGTCTTGTATGGTTCTCAAACAATTATTATTAATTAAGCATGGACAAATCAGTTTGACCTACCGCTTATGCACTAACCAAAAAAAAAAAAAAAAAAAGACCCAAACCAGAAAGCTTCTTTTCCATACCATTCTAGGTAAAAACTTGCTAAGACTTTTGACCGTGGAATATCTTGATGGTTTTGCAGAGCCTCCTTTATTTATTTTTGTGCAATAGGGATGGTGTGGTTTGTTCCCATTGCTTTCCTTTTTTGATTGGTGAGAGGTAATTAATAATGTGGTGAATAGCTGCTTTTTGTTACACAGCCAGAATAATCTGCCTTAATCTTAGAAAATGTGAAGCTGCTTGTCCTAGACAGGTGGCAGAGTGATTATCTATACCCGGGATCAGATTAGCTGGGTAAAAAGTGAAAGTGCTGCAATTTATGCTGTGCTGTCTGATCATAGACATTTAACCTATTCCTGCCTCTAATGTACATAAAATAGATTCAGTGGGAAGACTGTTGCAAGAAATACTTTTGTAGAAGTTTTGAGTTTCTCCCTGTAAAAGTCTTTTCAGTTGCAACAGATCAACTGTTTTGTGCAGTGCCCATAATTTAAAGACACAGATGAAGGGAAATATGGTGGTAATTATCACAGCACATGTTAATTGCAGTTCCAGCCTCTTCTACACTGTTTATTCCCACGTGATACTGTTGATGTCAGAAATAATCATCCATGCCCCAACAGTTCATACTTTATTAAAAAAAAATACACAGTCAGTAAAAATGCTTGCAACTAGTAAAATAAGAAACTTGTAATTTTTTTTTCTAAGAATCACCACTGGACATGAAATGGCACATCAGTTAGATCCATTTTCAGAGTCAGAACATAAGATTAAACTACATAGATCTAATGTATAGTTGGGATTAAAAAAAGAAAAAAAGGAAAAAACCCTAAGTATTCTGTGAGGGTGCAGACTGGGGAATCAAAACAACTTAGAGGCTTATGAAAAGCCTCTCACTTTGCTTGGGTTATGCTCTAGTAACCTCTGTTCAGCAGCACAGCTGTGGTGAAATGACAGCAGGGCAATCTACTTCAAGAGCCAGTAGGAAAAAAAAAAAAAGACTGCTGTGCAAATTGTCTTCATTATGTTGGTGGACTGATTAAACCAGCACTTATGTTACTTCCCACTCATGAATCTCCTGCAGCTGCAAAACATTATTAAGGAAAATGGTGAAAGACATCTTGTTCTGTCAGCAAGACATACTGAAGGAGAGGATTATTGTTAAGTTCTAGAGTGTACTTTGCTTTTAAGCTAGGTTACTAGCTACACTGCTGTAGTTTCCAAGCACAGTATAAACCATGTATGAAACCATGTATAAAAATGTATAGATGTTGAACAATGATTTTGTAATATCAAAAAGTTGAGTCTCTTTGCCCCCTTTTGGGATAGCTTTTCCAAACAATTTCTCCCATCTCAGCAAAAATGACCCCTTTTTTTTTTTTGTATTCTGAATGCAAGTGCATGATCAGAACTTTCCCACTTATGGAGAAACTTCAGAGTTTCACGCTGAGAGCTGCAGATCAACCACAGAGGGAATGCTCAGGAGTCAATCCTTCCATAGGAAGAAAACACTGTGGGAAGAAAGGAAAAATGTAACAGTCAACACCACTACTAGTATTTATGTCCATAATGTAACAGGAAGCTTGGGTAGCTTAAGATCAGTGGCTCTCTGTGACCCTTTAGTATGTCAAATACCAGTATTATCTTTTTAAACTACTTACTTCTTTCTCTCAGCCCTTGTCCAAAGCTGCGGTAGACATGAATCAATGCCCAAAGCAAAACACATTTTATTGCAACAGAAATGCAGGTACCAGTAATGACAGCAGCTTCCAGAGTATAAGAATTTCCTTTGCCCCACTCTGTTACTACCTGCAGGAAAATGGAGACGTAAAACAGTAGTCAGCCTCTAGTGACACAAAATCATGATGCTGTAAAATAAAGATCAGTTAAACTGCTGAAAGTCAACAGATAATCATGCAAAAGCAAACCTGGGCTTTTTTAAACGGTCTTGTTTTCCTCACTGCAGAGTAGATAAATGTTTTATGCCTTCTGATACCAACATCATTAAAAGTCATATGAGAACTGTATTGTAACCAGATTGAAAAAAACAGCTATACTGGAGATAAGGAAACTAGACTTCATCTTAGGTGTCAGTCTCTCTCCGCTGCAGATTAATGGGAAGAAGGGGAGGCATTTTTGCATAGATGTGTATCTTGTAATGAATAATTTCACTGCATCTTTCCCTAATCAGTCTGGACAGTTTGCTAGTCACAGGTATTTCCACAGACTCTCACTTCAACTAAATCAAATCAAGCAATCTGGAATGGTTCCTGTCTGGAAAGTTGACCTTGAAGAGATAGGATGTAACTGCCACAATGAGGTGTAGGCTGATGAATGAAGTATCATATTTTGGGTCTCAGGGACCTCAAAACAAAGTGAAGGCCTCCAGTCTTGCGCCTGATTATCAAACAAGCGTGATGCATACCATATAAAGCAGGTAGATGAGAAAAACAACTTCAGGTACATTCTGGCTTAGAAAAATCCACACCAGAGGTTTCAGTTCTTTTAGAATCTGTAAAATAAGATGGGATAGATGTGGCTTTGTAAGTGTTTTATATGTGCTTTATAAAGGCTATACATTTATCCAACAGTACTTAAAGGATTGCTGTAGCTCAGTTTCCAGGCCCAGTCATAACTTTCTACTTCTCCACTTCTCCTTCTTTACCTCTGCTCTTTGGGAGGAAATATGATCTCTGTTTTCCACTAACCCAAGACAGTGGCTGGTGAAAATCAAAACCATTGATTTTATGGGCACAACCTGACAGCTACATGGTTTGAACCATCTCAGCATCCTCTTGAGCCTTACCTTGTTATGTGTTCAGTACAGCTCCCAGCTAACTTATAAATGAGTAAGCTGTTGACTCTTCTGAGGACCACTGCAGCTAAGCCGATGTATTTTTTTTTCAGCCTTTCTTTTTTTACTGTATTTCTTGAGGTATACTCTTATTTCTTTCTAACAATTTAATATTTTCATAAGTTACAGCATATACTTGGTCACTTTTTTTCCGTCCGGCTGTATCTCTCTTGGAGGAAAGTAGAGTCTCTGAGAACTAAAAATGTGAGAGAAGGCAGAACTATCAGAATAACTGTCATGCTTAACCTTGAGACTCAAAAAGTAAGTCCATCATTTCTTCTTCCTCATGGCTGGAAAAATCCCTAGAGCTGATGGAGCCAGTGGTAGCTTCCAGCAATCCTTAACCAGAAGGGCAAAGGACTCCTTTGAGTCACTGTGACTAAAACCAGTGCCTGGACCAACTGTTAAGATAAGATTTGATACATCTGATCAAACCCTCAAGATCAATATGAATCCTTCTGCAATGGTCAATATCTGAACCAATGAATAGAAGCATTAAAGGAAGTGAGCCTCCTCTAAGAGAGTATGTCCATTCTCTGCTGCTGGCTCCATTTTCTGTGGTATTGCATAGTGCTTCTCTTAGGTTAAGAGCAAAAGGGAAAAAAAAATAGACTAAGGGTGAGAAAGAACAGTGTGGATTGGCTAGAAAATGAGGGCAAAGAGGAAACTGGAGACTAATAAGATAAATGGGAGAAGATAGTATTATGGAGCCTAAATTTAATAATTGAGATAGGAAAAATAAATCCACCGAAGGAAGTGGGAGACCATAGATATAAATTAAAAAACAAAACAAATAAGCAAAAAAAGGTGAGTGAAATGGCATTCAGCATCAACCCTGAAATAAGCACCCTTGAAGTTTTGTTTTCAAGTACTGCAGTTTTCATAAAAGACTGCCTCCGAGGTGCTTCCTAGTGTTCCATTCTATTATGCTTATATTTTGTGGTGTATTATGTATGTCTCCATACTTCCTTACACAACAGCCACAACAGAGGGGGTGCTGTTCAGGAAAGCACCAAATAAAAGACAATGTGACAATAAAACACAATGAATACAAGCTGTAAGAATCTTTTTTTTTTCTCCAAGGAAAGTAAGCAAAACTCTTACTGGTATACAGGAAATAATATCTAGCTCATACTAGAAAACTATTTCATCTGTTAGGAATTCCCATGAATGACTAAAGCAAACAACCAAGAAAGCTGGAGGAAGAAAATCCTTCCTTCTGGTATCAGAAGCATATATCTGATCACCTTTGTGCCTGATTCTACAACCCTTCCTGGAACAGAGCCCTCAAACTTCAAAGAAAGTTTTGTCTGACTGACATAAACAACTACACAAGTTCACAAATCCTTATGTTAACCTAAAAATTGCCACTTACCTTGATAATAAAGGACCACTCATCGTTTTGGTGTGGTTTCCTAAGGAAATAAGGCCTGTGCAGTCTCACTGTGTCTGTCTATCCATCTTCATAATAATTTGCAGGACTGTTGCCAGTTTCACCTAACCTTGTCAGAGAGGTAGAGATCTTGAAGATACTGTGATCCTATAAGTTTCATGAAAGTAGGTGGTCAGGTAGAGGATGGAGAATATAATAATGTTCCTCAGAAAGGAATAATGATAGTGTGAGTTTGTCTCCTCCTGTATGCTCAGGGGAGAGGCTTGGATCTCTAAGAAACCTGACTTCATTGTGTTGCTGTTCTCTTGGTTTCTATTTGGCTCCATTTGGGCTCCCTCCCACTGTGCAGTATGTATAGAGCAGGATGGCTGTGGCGGCCCAGCCTGTGATCATTGCTCAGGATGAGACCGTAGTCCTGGAAGGTGACCCCTTGCAAGTGTCACTCTTAGCTTAACACTTACTGCGATGATGCTAATGGTCACTTTGAGGCATGCCCAGAGCACTCCTGTTGCTGAGAGGATGGTGTGGAGAAGGGTGGTTTCACGCAGGCTTGTCAGCACAATACACAAGCAGAGCTAAAAGAGAAAAGACAAGGATTTGATAAAACTATTAGTTTAAAGCAATACAGCTGACTGAAAATATGTGACACAATCCCAGCAACAGAGGCTTGGGCAGATCTTAAAGAGGTATCTTTTTCCCTCAAAACTTGACGGACAGAATTCCCCATATAGATATTAGCAACAACAGAAGAACAGAGAAGGCAGCAAGATGTACTCCAGACAAGTATAAAACACTACAGGGGCAGAGTAAGAATGCACGATGCTGTACAGAAGTACAGAATCTTCCTAAACAGGCGTTGGGTTCACTTAGCCTATCTGTAACTTCAGATTATCTCACCCTTATTGTGCTGGGTCAGGCTATGATCTTCCTCCCCTCTCCCATCCCAGCAACACTTGCCCAACTGCAGGACAACTATCATAGTTGAAAATGTCTGTAATTTTTTTCCCCCAAAATAAGAGTCTCTTTTCATTATTTTGGCATGACAATGAGAAAATGTTATGCTGATCCTTTTTTTTTTTTTTTTTCTGTCTTTTAGCCAGGCCTCCTTATAATAAATACCATAAGAGATGAGCGTTAGTAGGCTAACCTTAAGTAAAAGCTAAGACAGAATTGCTCTAGGAAGTTAACAGTTGAGCTCAGCTGGTCTAATTCTAACTTTGGCTTAAGAGAAGGGGAGAAAAAGGGGTTATCTGGGGAGAGTTCTATACCTGTGCCTGAAGATCAAAGGTCAACATGGAAAAACAGAGATTCAGCATGAAGTACTGTGACTGCAGGCTTTCGAGAGCGCCGCCCACACGGAAGGCCATCATGCTTTCACTCTGAATGAGGATGAGGGCACAGATCACATCGAAGGAGCCAACCAGGAGAATCAGGATGAAGCGGGCCTGATGGGAAAGACACATAAGTAAGTGACTGGCCACAATGAAATAGGGGCAGTCTTTAAATCATTTATAACCGAAAATAACAAAGGAATAAGGACAGCCAAACTACCTGATATCTGCCTACAGAGATCTGAAATAAGCAGTCTAAGTTACAGCTAAACATGATAGTTTGTCATATTGTTAATTAGTGAAGATGTGTTCATAATTCTGGTTGTTTAATGTAACCACTTGGTAACAACTGTAAATTCATACTATTTTTGCTGATAATCTTATTCTCACACAGTAATTCTGTTCAGGAAGTGGAAGTAGTTATATATAAATCCAAGTAACTTTTTTAGTAGGAAAAAAATCCTTACATTTCTTCATCGGGCCTTACTTTGGTTTTATATGTTTACTATGTAAGCTGAAGGCTAGGAATACATACCTTAAAATAATTTGCAGTCCTTTGATGCCTGTTTTTTTACTGACCCTATCAATCCCACTTGCTGTAGATAAGTATGTTTAAATAAATGTACAACTGATATGTACCCTGACTGGGCAAATTATGCTCTGCTTTGATCTTGCTAGCTTGGTTGCAATCCCTTCTATCCAAGAACAACTTCTGGATGATCAGGAACCTCCTTTTCACCTTTGGGAAAGCTGTGTAACCATAAAAGGGAAGGACTTCTGAGAAACACAGCAAGAGGAAGTTAAACTACAAACCCTATTCATGCACAGGATACAGTTCTTGTTTTACATTTTACTGTTGTGAAATACAAACACGAGTGTGGAATGACAGCACCTCCTCTAGTACACTATACCTTTTTGTTTCCTTGCAGTGGGTATCACAACTCTCTTAAAAATCACAAGGTTGATTTTATGGGCATTATATCTGGAAAATGCCACCCTAATGTGACTCTTTCCTCATATCAGCTCAAAAGATTTCAGTTCAGTTCCTAGGTTGGATTTATTAAAGTAGTGACTTTATAGACTAAAATCCAAGGCAGAGTTGGTTAAGTGAAGGTGGTATCTTCTGTGGCAGCTCCATGCGAACAAAATTCTATGATATTAATAATACTTTCAGATATTACTATAAAGAAACACTTAAAATTTCTTAGAGAAACAAATGTACCATTGGAGAAGTGTCAATTCCTGTGACTTGGCAGGAATAATTCAGCCCATTTTACATGTGTTCAGTGTCCTTATCACAGATTCCTTGCCTTTCTAACATCTTCAAATCCGAGATCTGGAGAAAAGTAAGGAGACTAACCAGGAGTTTTGGCTTCTGTTCATCTGAAAGAACTGCGAAGTTGATAATGGAACGAAACATCACTAGCAAGATAGAAAGAACAAAGACGACAAGTTCCTGGCGATTCTCCTGCAGGATTCCTCTAGTCACGTAATATACACAGAACACTGGAAAGGAAAAAGAAATGTCATTTACTAAGTGAAAACAGATTGCATATGGTGTGATTTTTCATATTGTTCACACATGAACATGTTTAATATGATACCAAATGTATTATTGATCCTTCTTCTAAAATATCATTAAAAAAAAAAAAAGCACGAGTGGCAAAAGCACCAACTTGTAATGCTAAACTAGCAGAAGACACTGCATATAATACGTCAGATGGAGTGAAACAGGAATCTTTGATTACTCCTTAATTACTAATTTGGCAAAGAATCTATTTCTTTTAAAATATAAAAAGCATGTGTCTTACCAACTCCAACTAACTGTATAAAAGAAATGGTGAAATTTTCCTCAGTTTGCTGAATGAGTGTCTCTATGGTGAGCCCTATTACACTCAGCAGAGACAAAATAGTCACACAGAAGTAGATCTTGACAGGAAACGACAGCTCTGAACAAGGCTTTATCTGTAAAGAAAGAAACATATTAAACCAATAATCTGGCACAAAATATTTGCCATTCTGGAAGAAATGCATTAAAGTTGGCTAAACTGATTTTAAGTGAACATGATTTTAACATATATTGGAAATATTTCTTATATTTAAACAACTTTTGATGGATTATGTATCCTCTCTTTGAAAACAAGATTTTGTAAAAAAAAAAAAAAAAAAAAAGTAATAATTGAGTATCTGAATGAAAGTGCTATTTGATAGGTTTCCTTAGCAAATCAGTGTTGAATGAACAACCATGAACCCTGAACACACACTAGCAGTTATATATAAGCATATATATGGAAACTATAAATGTATATTTTATAAATACATCATACATACACACATATATACACATATACACACATATATATACATATGAGACTGGCTAAAATGCTGTAGCAAAGCCGCGGGCGGCTCGGATACTCACGGGCCCGCAGGGGGTGGGGATGAGCTCGCGGTGCCGGGGCTCGAGGTTGGGCCGAGGAGGCTCCGCGGCGTCGCTGGGGGAGACAGAGACGCTCCTGTCGCCACCGGGCAGCCGTTACCTCACGGCCGCCGCCGCCATGGCCGGGGAGGGAGGGGGCGAGAGGCTAGAAGACCGGTGACGTCACCCGCCACCCACCATCCCCGCGCGTTGGGGGGTGGGGGGGGGGGGGTCCTGAGCCACACCAAGTAGAGGCCGGGGTGGAGGGTGAAGGTGAAGGAGGGTGAAGCTCCTCCCCGCCCGGTGTCCCCCCCACCAAGCAAAAAGGATCTGCCCCCGCTCCGCGCTTGGTCCCGCCCATCTACCTTCCCCCGCCCCCCGCCGCGCTGATAGCAGGTTACGCTACGGGCCGCCGTGAAGGTCGTGTTGCGTTGTGAGGTGCTGTTACCTGTCGCCGGCTGCCTCCATATTGCCCTCGGGCTCCGGTAACGGCGCCTACATGGCGGAGCTGGGGCTTGGGGCAGCGCCCACACTTCCGGGCAGCGAGGGAGGGTGGCGGGGACGTCACTTCCCCGTGGCGAGCGGTCCTGAGGCGCCGCGGGAGCGAGCGCGTGAGGTCCTGAGGCGCCGTCGCGAGGGAGCGCGGCGGCGAGAGCGGGAGGGCGGCGGCGGGAGCGAGCGGGGCGGGCCGGCGAGATGGCGCCGCGGAGTGGCAGAGTGCGGCCCCGCCTGCGCAGTCGCCGGCGGGCCGCGTGAAGCATCGCCTCAGGCCGGAGGTGCTGCGGCCGCCTGTGGTAACTGAGGCGCCTTCCCCAGGAGCAGCCTTCGGGAGCCGCTACCGGCCGGGTAGCCGTTGTGCGAGGGTGCGCTGCGCCGCCTGGACCTTCCCTTAGATGTGCCGGGCTTTGAGGCTGTCTTTGTAAACATCCTAGGTGCCCTCATCCCTGTATCATGAAACGTCCCTTTGATCCCCTGCGTACCTGGGGTGCTGGTTGCTGTGCCCGTGTCACTGCAGGAGCTGTGTGTGGGTGGCAGAGGTATGCACACCAAGTTTTTGTGTGTTTTCCACCATTAAATAAGCCTTAATTTCTCAATTTCTCAAATATTTGCAATGTATTTTCTTCCAGCCTTTATTTATTTATTTCTAACGTAGTAAAGATGAGCAAAGATACAAAGAAGGGTATAAAATGCGCTGCAAGCCATGTACTGTGAGCTGGAAGAGTGAATGTCCGAGTGGAAGCTGACAGAAACAGTCTGCCATCCGCTGCCACATTTCATCTGCTGGCAAACATCAACTCCTGGCTGTTTTTAAAGGAAGAAGATTGACGTAGGCCCAGATGAAGAACTCTTTCGGTAAATTTAAGACCTTCCAGTTGATTTTAGAGAGCAGGTCAGTAATTTGGAGGCATTTTTTTTTCTTAGTTCCTGATCACCCAAGTGTTAGTTGTTTTTTTGCTTGTTGCTGTGTGTGGAGTCACTGATAGTAGACATGATATATCTGTACTGCTGAGGCTGGGCAATTTATTGTGTTTAATTGGTTTCTGTCTTGATAGAGCAATATAAACAGTAATTATTTAAAAAGTTGTGATAGTGCTAATTGTTTTTGAACGTTGAACCAGCTTGAATTGATTTGTTTTCACTTAAACTGAATATATGCATTAATGTGAATGTGTCAGTAGGCACATCTCAGTGCCTCCCACTGTTTCTCAGTGATTTGCTATGATTTGTGGTGAATTGCTCTGAAAATAGCGGAAAGGGATAAGGGAATAACATGATAACATCATTTTTGATGTTATTTGTTAAAACTCCTATATTTTTGCTTAGCACTTGTCATTTCCTGTGCTGTCATTGTTTAATATACTGTAGGTCTCATTTCAAACAGCTTTGAATAGATGGTTATGATTAACTTTCAAACTGAGAATGGTGACTTTTTAACTCTCTAAGATTCACTGTTTCCTTTATCCCACAAATGTGATTATAAATCGTAATTTAGTTTCCCCTCGTGCTCATTCATCACAGAGCAAAAAAGGTCCTGTCAGTCATTTCTTTCTCATCTGTCATATTCTATTTCCTTTTTCTCCTTAAAACATGTACTTCAAAATAAAAGCAATAAATACAATTATAGGTCTTAATGTTGCAGATAAACTGTTCAGTGCACTTATCTTCTTTTCCAGTATGGACTTTGAATCTGTTTTGCTATTATGACGTTAACATTACAGGACTGCAGAAGAATAAAGGTCAGGGTATGTTTGTGTTGCTCTCTGGACTGTACTACTGTAGCCCACTAAATTTGTGTAAGTTATAAGAGGAGAATGCTCTTGGCAAAAGATCTAGTGCTGCCTTTTTCAACTACGGTAGCAAAATAGGTAACGCTGCATTGTTTAAAAGCGATTAAATAGACAGCAAGTCTATATGGACATGGATAATGGATGTATTGGTCTAATGGATATATTTTTCCACTTTGTTCACTGGTTTATCTAGTTACTAGGACAATAGAGATTAAATGTGTGTTTACTGAAAGTTACTGTCTTTGATTACTGATAGCTCATTTTAACTCAAGTTCATGGTTAAGAGGGTAAGTAATATGCTTCTGCCTGTGTTTCTGAGTTATTAAGATTTTTCTGTAGTGGTTATAAGGAGACTGAGACAAAGATGATTGGTGAATCTTGAAGAAGAATTAATTATAATGGAAAATGCTTTTTTTTTTTATTATTTTTATTCTCAGGAAGAGAAAGTGGAATAGACCATATGAAGAAGCATCTGATTTTTTTTTTTTTTTTTTGCAAGATCTTATTTGGAGGACCAAATACACTTTTCCAGGCCATTGGAGAGGAAAGATTACTTGCATGTTTTTGTCCTTGAAGTGTCTTGAAGCTGTGTACTTAATATTGCTTTGTGTTAAGGACAGATGCTAATTTCTTAAAGACAGCATGTCAACGGTAGCAAGTACTCAGACACTGGAGGAACCTAATCCTCCCCTCCTTGAAGAAAAGCCAAAGGAAAAAACATTATTTCAGTTGAGCTCATTCTTTGCTAACAGGACTGAAAAATTTGTAATTGCTAGAAGTGATAGTGTCCCAGAGGAGAATGTCCTGAAGATAACTATCACAGAGACTACAGTCATTGAATCAGACTTGGGAATCTGGAATTCTCATGCTCTCATCTACCTCACTTTGTGGTTTTTCTTCAGCTTTTGCACTCTTTTTCTTAACAAATATATCCTCTCATTATTGGAAGGAGAACCCAGCATGCTAGGTAACCCTGCTTTTTTTTTTTTTTTTTTTTTTTTTATGCTTGAATTACAGTGAGATATTTGACAATACCAGATCTAAAGCTGTGAGAGTAAATGGTTCATCTGAAGTGAGAAAGGCTTTTCTAGGTGGTTGGGAGTGTATCTCAGAGCTGGGAACTTGCAACCTTGGCCTATAAAGGAGGTTCTGACACTGTCCTTTCTTCTCTTTGTCCCTGTAGTCTAGCTTTTAAGAAAATCAAGTCTTAATTGAAAATGTCATTAATCTGCGGAGTTGTTAAGATTAACTGATTTGCAGAAATCCAAATGTTTGCAGATGTAAAAGGATGTTTCTGAAAATTCATAAAACCTAAATAACAGTTGCCATGTTTGTTAGTAACCAGGAATGCTATAGACTCCCATTTTGCTTGATTCTTCTTGTTTTCATCATCTAATGATTTATTTTCTCATCTTTTCTAGGTGCTGTTCAAATGCTTTCAACCACCTTCATTGGCTGTATTAAAATGTTTGTTCCATGCTGTTTGTACCAGCACAAAACACGCATCTCGTATCCACCAAATTTCATTATGATAATGCTGTTTGTTGGATTAATGAGGTAAATAGTTATTTTTTTTTCCAAGAGTCTGGTTGCTTCATTATGTTCTTGTGTACAGAGCATACATTTCCATGGATCTCTTACTTTTTTTTCTTGGTCTTTTATGGAGATTCGGAACTGTTTAAAACAGTATTTATCTTTCTTTCTCCCCCTGTAAAATTCATAGGACAATTTTATCTTTTTCCTAACTAGATGCCATTTTTGAGACTAGCTTAGCATTCCATCGCTATTAGCACTGCTAATATTAGCACATACTGCACTTTCTAACATCTTTTCACTTGCTGTTATTTCTTGCTCTCTTTGAGACTGAAATTTGTTTAGTATAATCTGTGTTATGATTGTGCTTTATTCTGTCAACTTTTTCAGAATTTTTACCTCAAAGATGATACAAGTTTTTAATATATGATGCCTTTCAAAAATAAATATTTGTTGTGTGCTGGGGTAGAATCAGTCTGTGATATAGGAAAGAATATATTGTTTGATTTTTGTCTACACTGCAAAAATTATGTAAGATAAATCTGTTTTGAACTAACAGGGTTGCTATTATCTTGATAACTGTGCAGATGTACTGATTAATTTCATGGCTTAAAGTATGAATAAATGTTCAGCATGCCTATTTTTGGTTACTGTAGCTCAATTTTATATATTACTTGACAAATTGCAGGGCAGGCTGAATGTCTAAAATTAGATGTTTACGCTTATTTCATTCTCTGCTTAGATTTATGTGTTCTTCTCTCTTACAGATTTGCAACAGTAGTTTTGGGGCTTGTCAGCTTGAAAAATGTGGCAGTTTCATTTGCAGAAACAGTTAAAAGCTCTGCACCTATTTTTACTGTCATTATGTCTCGAATGATATTGGGGGAATACACTGGTAAGTACTTCACCCTTAAAACAAGATCATTGTACGTAGTGCCAAAGGAAGACTGGTCCGATTACAGAGCAAGCAGAGTGAATATTACTATCTTTTGACAAACATGAAATGCAAACAGGCACCAATCTATTTTCCTTTTTTTTTTTTTTTTTTTTTTTAATTTTATTTATTTATTTTAGCAGTCAGTATTCCATATTTTCATATCGTTTTCCAGAGCACATTCTTACCATTTTAGCTCTGACTTTAGAACCTTTCAAATAAATTGTTTGTTTGTTTGTTTCCTTTTAATCAAGGAGGTCAAGCTGGAATTGAAACTTTTTCTGACTGTATTATCTGTTGTGTTGCAACACGGTGAAAAATATTGGAAGTACAATAATTAAGCACAGGTTTTAAACTTGCTTTTCATTTGCAGGATTGCTGGTTAATCTCTCCCTTATCCCTGTTATGGGCGGGCTAGCTCTGTGTACAGCTACTGAAATCAGTTTCAACATTCTGGGGTTCTCAGCAGCTTTGTCTACTAATATCATGGACTGGTAAGGCATAAGGAAGGGCATGTGTGTGGAATAGAGGAATTTTGTTTCTCACAGTTTGGTTTGTTATATTTAAAATCTACCTTTTTTATTTCAGTTTGCAAAATGTCTTTTCAAAAAAACTGCTCAGTGGAGATAAGTACAGATTTTCGTAAGTATTTAAAATGACTCAAGTTTGTTGATAATAGAAGGATCTTGGGCTGCATTTGAAAAACAACATCAACAAAAAACATACAATAGTTGTGATTAGATTGGACTACAATATTTTATTTAATTCAAACTCCCTTAACACACACTATTGAAAACTTTGTCTTCTATATTCAATACAGCTTAGCCAACCTGGAAAGCAAAATGCTCTCTTTCCAAGAGTTTGTTGAATTTATTGCCCCCAAGGCTTGGTAGATGTTTTTTCTGTGTTATTTTCTGATGTCTGTAAATGAAATAATGAGACTTCTACTTAAAGTGGAGGCAGCTTTCTTCAGGTCTAAGAAAGCAGAAGCTATTCCTAATTTTTTGTGTGTTTGTCCTTTGTAGAGCCCCAGAGCTTCAGTTCTATACCAGTGCTGCTGCAGTGGTTATGCTTATTCCAGCATGGATTTTTTTTATGGTAATTTGAATTTGCTAACACCGATGTCTATTTTCTTTTTGACTTGCATGCATATAAGTAATCTTTAGTTTTTGTTCCTATTCTTTAAAATGCACTTCATCTTCTCTTTACAAAAGATTGGAAAAAAATATGCTGAAAGAAGTATAGACTCAAAAATACTTAGAAGAAGAATACTTAGAAGTAGTAGAAAGAAGTAGTGTAGAGAGGAGCTGACAAGTGACCCAGAAAACATGATTTAATTTCTAAACTTTTAAAGAGGGGGGAAAAAAGAAAAAGAGAAATATATATATATATATATATATATATAAATAAAATTGTCTGAATTGGTGCACTTAAAGTTTCAGATAAAGACTTAAAAACAAATGTTAAATACCTGCTGCCTTTTTGTCTATATTCACATGGTATGTGGGAGTATTCACTTTCCCCCCCCCCCCCATTTAGGATGTGCCCGTAATTGGGAAAAGTGGAAGGAGCTTCAGCTACAATCAAGATGTCATTGTACTTCTCTTAATAGATGGAGTCTTATTCCACCTGCAAAGTGTTACAGCGTATGCCTTGATGGGAAAAATTTCTCCTGTGACTTTCAGGTAAAAATATTGACAGGATCCCTATTTTTTTCTTAATATTCCTGCTTAGGAGCTAGATAATAAAGATGATATCCAAATAAATAATGTAAATGCACAAATTCAAGAAGAAAAGTTGTCAGATCCACCAAAACCCACTTTAGTTATGGTATTAGTTCAAATAGGAAGAGTGGAATTGGATTTAGTGCTTAAAAAAAAAAAAAAATCCAACTATATGAGAGCATAAAGTTGTGTGGGATATGAGAAAGCTTTACTAGGCCTTAACTTTTATATTCCTTTCCAGTGTTGCCAGTACTGTGAAGCATGCACTGTCAATCTGGCTAAGTATTATTGTGTTTGGTAACAAAATCACCAGCCTCTCAGCCATTGGGACTGTTTTAGTGACAATTGGAGTCCTGCTATATAACAAGGCAAAGCAGCATCAGCAAGAAACCATACACAGCCTGGCAGCTGCGGCTCCACAACCAGCAGAAAGTACGACAGAAGATACTGAACCACTAATTTCCAAGGATTTGAAACCATATGATTGATATGGTCATTTATTCTTCCAAAATAGAGTAACTCAAAGGATCTCTCTGAAAGTGGTTATTTCCTCAGCAGTTGTGAATGATTTGGATTTGGGTCCACAGCAAGTCAAGATGGGGTCTTGAAACAGAGGAAACAATGGGAAGAATCTAGTAAGTTGATTTACCGAGGAACTGATATACTGAACCCTGGGACTTAGTGTCATATAATGTGATAACTACAGTTTTGTAATCTTTTCTTGACTGAAATAATATACAAGCCTATACTGCAAAAGATTTTCAGTGATTTGTTGGAAATTGATTCCTTTCTCCACCAAAATAACAGGGGAACATGTTCGCTTCATTCTGCTTGCTTGGTGTGGAATGAATTGGTCCTTAACTGACATTTCCGATTGCTTATGACAGTACTATGTCCTCTATCATGTGTTTGTGTTATAAAACTGGAAGGAAGAGGCCCCTCTCCCAATAAATGATTTTGGTGTACAAGTAAACTATGAAAATGATTYCATGCCCCCAAGTAAGGATGAGCTATTTCTGACTACAAAGCTAGCAAGGAAAAGCAATTTTTTTTTTTCTCCAAGAAAATGTTGTAGCTGAGCTGGGTGAATATTGAAATGAAAATATATAAATATATACATGTTATTATAAAACAGAGGGATTAAATAAGTATTTTGAATTGCTCACAGGTAAAAACCACTGAATCTATGGTGATAAAGGAGGCAGAAGATTTTTTTTTTTCTTATAAGAGTGCAACAAAAAAAAATACTGCGTTGTAGAAACTCAGGGTTACAAGTCTGTAACAGTTATAACAAGCTTAATTGTAATAATTACCTCTCTTCTGAAAAACAATAGGTTGCTGTTATAGACATGGATAAAATGGTCTTTTATTTTATATTTTATAGTAGGAAGATAGAAGTGGAGCTCCTGCAAAAGTTAAGCACCCGCTTACATTTCCAATGTAATTCCATTAGCTTTAGTGGACTTTCCCTGAGGAAGTCAAAAATTGTTCCTAAGTTTGGATGTCTGAAGAAGGCTTTCTTCTGATTCTGTTTGATTAGCCTGTGTTTATTTCTGTTGTATTATGTTTACTTACGGTCACAGTGTAAGATTTGCCTGGGTCTATACCTTAAAGATTCATATGTGGAAAATTGCAACTTCTTTTTATCACTGTAAACATTGATGTTTGATTTGCTTTGTCATTACTAATATTATTTGCAAAATGCTGTGGACTACGAGGCAAGTTCTGTTCTTTTTTGGTAGATACAGATTTAATAATCTCCGTAGATTTGGTGGATACCAAAGTCTATTTTGCATTGCATTTCTTCTTTTTGGGGAAAGCGGAAAGCTAAGTATCTTTCTAGTGGTCTAGCTCAGTTTTCCTGCAATCTCCTCCACTTTGGAAGATAGCAGTTTTTTGCCTTTCCTGTTACTGGAAGAATTGCAAACCCGTACATCTGGGAGGATTTTGCAGCTTGTAATTTCTAACATATTGGAGTTTCTTGGTGACTGGCTTAGCTCTACCTGCTCTTTGGTGGAGAGGATGAGCAGGATAATTCAGTTTGGTGGGAAGGGGTTGTTTTCTTTCCAGGGTTTTTTCCTGTTATGTACTTTTATGTGCACTCGTCTTGGCCTTTATTTTTATTAGGCTAAACAAAGAAAGCTTTTTTTACTATCCACTTATAAGAACGGCTTTCTTCCTTTTCCTTAATGTACTGCTTTAAATTTTTGCATAAAAGATAGCATTTGCTGTATTTGCTACCTTTATTGTATTTATTCTGTATACATCATCTGTTAAAACAAAGGGAGTTGACAGCCCTGCACGAAAGCTTTTGGATTCTGAGCATTGCTTGGGTTGAAAGGCAGACTTTTGAGGTGTTTAAAACTTCAAAAACGGTTCTCCAAATAGTTTTCCTTTTGGAAAACATGGAAAACTTCACATTTCCAAAATCAAAAATGTATCCGCTTATTAGCGGAAGGATGTTCTCGGTATTTATGCATGGTGTTCTGCCACCAGAATGGATATACAGCTCTTTTTTTCTGGGTTTTCATATGGATTTCAGTGTATAAATACAAATTAATTAAATATGACTACTAGTAGTAGTAAGCCAAAGTACTGCAAGTTTAACATAGAGCAACATTAGGCATGTAATATTTTAGTATATAGTTTCTGAAGAGGGGGTATTTCACAAAGGCAAAAGTTCTGTTTCTTACTCCCTTCCCTTGAGCTGAAATGATACAAGTGCTTATTGAAGAAAACGCACAATTTTTGGAAATGTAAAATATTACTTGTTGCAGTTGACATCTCCAAAATGACAGATTTCCTAAAAAGATGAGTAATGAAATAACTCTAGTACAGTAAGTGCCCTGTGCACTTTCTGTGTTTTAACATCTCTCCGTGGTGAAGTAATTTAACCATGTAAGTGTTTACTTTTATCTGCCTGTATTCTTGATTGCTGTTTCTATAAAATTTTTAAGAATGGCCCTTCTCACACTGAATTCATGCGCATACACCTTCATTATGTATTAGTTCTGCTGTCATTATAAAAGTGACTTTGTTGAAGTGGTCTGTGGTATCATGCTTTATTCAAACAAATAGTAAAATTGATCCTTTATGGTCATATGCTCATCCCTATAATTACATATAAGGAAAAAGAACAAAAGAAAGATGCATGCTATGGTAGCTTCTCCTTTTCCGTCGCTCTATTTCATGTCTTTTTTTTTAATTATGATTATTTCATTGGCAGAGATTGGCAGTTGTTTATATCTTCCTGTGCAGTGGTAAAACTGGTGCATTGTAGGAAATAGATGTTTTGGCAGTTACTCAGTGATATTTGTTACTTTCCAAAGTGGTCATGGGAGATCTGTTTAATCCTATTCCCTCCAGGGACTAAGTCCAGTTCATATAATCACTCTAATGATACAGTTCTTAAGAAGTAGAACGTATGTCTTGTTTTTGAATAAAAATTTGGATTTAGGATGATATTTGTACTGGAATCATGATTGAAGAGAATATTTGTTTTGCAGTCCAGCAGTTTTGTTTGGGTGGTTAAACACTCTTTTGTGAAAGCTGTTCTTCCTGGTGATAGCTCCTGTCAGGCTGATCTCATTCAGTCCATGGTTAGTTCCGGCTTCTGGTTTCAAGGGGCATTTCGCGTGTAGAGAGTGAGGTTGCTCACATTCACAGCTATGAAATAGCTGTCAGCCTTGTCCCATTTATACCCAAATAAAGACAGTAGTTTCTATGCTTTGTGTGTACACTTGTCACAGTTATTGGTTGTAATATGCACGATTCCACATTTAATCCTAGGATCCTAATCCCTAAAGGTGTTACTTGAGGTAATAAAGCTGCAGCAAATGAACTCTGTAGTGTGAGTCCCCCGTCCCCTTGGAACGGCAGCTGGTTGTTGACCTCACAGCTCAGAGTTCTGAAGTTTTGCTGAGGAAAAGTCAAAACTCGGGTTACTTTCTACAGTCCTACTAGTCAAACTAGTGCTTTTAAGAAATACTACCGTGCATTGTGCTCATACGATCAAAGCTTTGGGCATTTGACAGCAAACTAGGAGCTTAGGACTGAAATGCAGAGCAGTTTGTGTGCGTTTTGGGACTGTGGCTATTGCCTTGAGGGTGGGAGGAGCTGCTGGGGCTAGAGGCGGGTCCTTGGGCTGCTGGAGCTGTTAACGTTTACAGCGTTTACGTGGCTTTTAATTAACCTTGTAAAGAAGAAAGTTCTCGCGCCCTCGACCCGTTAACTAAAGGCGCCGCTGCCTCCTCAGCGAGGCTTGGGGCGGGGGAGGAGGGGGCGCGAGGCGCCCCGCCGCAAGCCTGCCCCGCCCGCAACGTCATCACCGCCGGCCGGCGGCCGGAAGTGGCGCGGTTGTGTCGCGCTTCCTCGTTCCAGTCTGCGGTGGCGGCGGTGAGTGGCGCTTCCCGCCCCGCGCAGGGTGGGGGCGGCGGGAGGATCCCGGGCCCGGCGGGGCCGGGGGCTGCGCCGCGATGTGGGCCCAGGAGCGGCCCCATCGCAGCCACGCCCTGGGGCGGGGGAACCGCGGCGGCGCTCGGGCCTCCTCGTTAGGCCCGAGGGCCCCGCCCTGGCACTGCGGGGCGGAGAGCAGGGGTCGGGCATCGTCCCCCTGGTACCCGCGTTGGGCTCGGTGATTACGGCCCCTCCGCATCCTCCGAGCTGGCCCTCGTGTTCCTCAGATGGTCCCTTAACGGTGGGGAAAACGCTGCGTGCGCCGGAGTTTGTGCCAGGTGCTCTTCGTTTAGTATGACTCAAGTACAGCCTGGCTTTCCTTGAAGATATTATATTAAATTTTCATCTGTACATGAATAACACATGTAAAACTGGTGCAGTTGTGTTTGGGGACTGTGTGACTCTGTAGGTTTCATTAATTTTTTTTTTTTCTTCTTAGAGCTTTTTTGAACTCAAATGGGTGATGAAAAGGATTCTTGGAAAGTGAAAACTTTAGATGAAATTCTTCAGGAAAAAAAGCGCAGGAAGGAGCAAGAAGAGAAGGCAGAGATAAAGCGTATGAAAAATGTAAGATGCACTTTGATAAGCAAGCTCTTGTAGGTGTCATGAGTGAGCTCTTAATTCTCTTAAATTTGCTGATGTGACAGCTCAAGGTTGGCTTGAAATGGAAACATTGCTTATTGTCTTTATTATTATTATTTCCTCTTTTTTTCAATGTACAAATTAACTGTGCTTTGTTTTACTTCTTTTTTTGCATTCCTACAACAGTCAGATGATCGGGATTCAAAGCGGGATTCCCTTGAGGAGGGGGAGCTGAGAGATCACCGCATGGAAATAACAATCAGAAACTCACCTTACCGAAGAGAAGACTCTATGGAAGACAGGTAAAAATATGAAAATAGTGTTTTTGCTTTAGTGAAAGTTTAGAAAAAATGAGAAATTTGTTTAAACATCTCTGAAGGGGACGAGTTAACTCCTTTAGCGTATTGATGTTCCATCGTGTGTCCTGTTGGCAGAAAGTGCCAGGATATCTTTTCAAGTTTAATAATGTGGTCAAGTTTTGACCTCTACCCAGACATATAATTCTTCCCTCAAAGTGCTGAATTCTCTTTGATACTTAATTATTCTCATTTTACTTGTATAAGTGTGTATATAATAATAGCATAACTACTCACCTGTCTGACTTTCTGTAATGTGCTCTTAATGCCTTGGCTCAGGAATGTTAAAGAAACTTAAATGAATAAACTTATTCACTACTTAGTGCATTAAATGAATAAAACAAAACACATTGAAAACTAAAAAGATGAAATAATATACACTTTGCTAGGCAATTTGTATGAACTCCCTGAGTTTGTTTATGTCATACTTCAGGGGAGAAGAAGATGATTCCTTGGCTATAAAACCTCCACAGCAAATGTCACGGAAAGAAAAAACTCATCACAGAAAAGATGAGAAGAGGAAAGAGAAGCGTCGACACCGTAGTCATTCAGCAGAAGGCGGTATTGTTGAAGTTCATTAGTCTAATCTTTCTGTTCAGCTAGTGAAGCTGAACAGAATCTGTACAAGGGTTAAATAACAATAATTGTGAACTAGAGAAAACAAGGTGGATAGATTAGAAGAAGTTAAACTTTTGTTACTTCTTTGATTATGTTGAATGGCCTTTTAAGAAGGACATATATATTTGTCTGAGATGACAAAAACACTTTGGGAAAGGGACAGAAGGTCCAGTTTTACTCTTTGAAGTCTGTTTAACTTCTTACTGGATTCACGGAGTGAGATGTTGAGCCGTGATCTTTGTGCTTGATGGTAAAAGAATGAATAACCTTTCAATGTAAAACAGAGCARAAAGTCCTGTTACTAACAAGCTTCCTCTATTTTCAACATGAGTGTTCCTACAAGATCTTATAACTATTAAATTCTCTAATGCCCCTCTGGATCAAAATTTTTCCATTAAGAAGAGACCAAAGAACATAGATATAGGTGTTATAAGTGTAATCTCTTCAAGTTTTGCCTTCTGGAAATAGGAACAGTGAATATATTGAGCAGTAACAATCCAAAATTCATTTTTGTCTTGGTTAGGGAAACATGCCAGAGTGAAAGAGAAAGAACGGGAACATGAGCGTAGGAAGAGACATAGAGAAGAGCAGGATAAAGCCCGACGTGAATGGGAAAGACAGAAACGGAGAGAAATGGCAAGGGAGCATTCCAGGAGGGAGAGGTATTTTACGTCACCCCTACACTGTCCCCCTCCCCTCAACCCCCCCAAAACCCAGCAGGGAGACGAACCTCTTGCTCCTCTAAATGTCTCCTTTACTCTTCACTGTTCTGCACTGATAAAAACGTTCAGAGCAGAAGCTGATAAGGTGCGATGCCTGTACCATGTTCCTGTGAATGTGTTGTCTTACAGAATGGCTTCTTGACGCTAACTACCTTTGTGAGTTACTTAATTAGAACAAATATTTTTAAAGGCAGTTGTTGCAAGTCTTTTGCTACAGAGAAAAATGGGTCTATCAGTTTTATATAGAATGATGGGATCTATTAACTAGACTTGCCTTATGTCTTTTTAAGCCCTGATAAGGATGCAGAAGCTTATGTGTTTCATAGCTCATGACATTTGTCTCAGCAAGACTGTCTTTAAAGTTTCAGATGAAAAGCTACCTATGTATTTGGCAAGCGTGCAACTAGTGGTGATGTTGCTAGTGAAATTGAATAGCCTTGTAGCTTGTTACAGAAAAAATACTTATCTTCAAAAGCTGAATTTGGATTGAACGGTAGTGTAATAAAAATATGTATTTTTTTTCCTAGAGATCGTTTGGAGCAACTTGAGCGAGAACGAGAGAGAAAAATCAGGGAGCAACAAAAAGAACAAAGAGAGCAAAAAGAACGAGAAAGAAGAGCTGAAGAAAGGCGTAAGGAAAGGGAAGCCAGAAGAGAAGGTAACTATTTTAGCATAGTGTTGGGGTTTACAGTTTTAAGCACACAGATCTATGCGATGTAAAGGCTGTAGGAGGATTCATGTGGAGGAGATGTGAAAAAGCTTTGGCTGGAGCTAAAGTCATAGACACTGAAGTCAATTGATTACAAGACACAAGTATAGAAACCCAAGAACCAGTCTTYGTGTTCATAGGACTGCTTGTCTAATACAGTATAAATTAATTTCACTTTTACATCTGAATTCTCACTTCATGTAAGACTTCAGACAATTTGCAATCTAATTTCAGATAGTTTTTAGTTAAATGATCTCTCTTCATCTTTATTCCTGTTTCTTAGATAAAAAAGGAATAATACAGGAAGCAGGTGGCTGTGGCAAAGAACTGTGTTTGGCAGAGAGGTGTAAGGTTTTCTTTTTTTCCCACTAGTTTCTGCACATCATAGAACAGTAAGGGAAGAATATGGAGACAAAGCGAAAACAAGACCCTGGAGCCGCAGCCCGTTACGACAACCAAGAGAAAAGCCTGAGCAGGGAGATGTCAGGAAACCAGGTAGTGTCTGCACTTAATAATGCCTTTGTCTGGGGGCCGTGAGGAGCTGCTCTAGGGAAGAACGTTTCATTTTTT